GTTGATCAAGTTGAGCTCCACATGTTCGGTGATAGCTCGCAGGACGTTTTCTGTGCTGTTGGATTTTTGCGTGCGCGAATCTCGAGTTCGCACAAAACTCAAATATATAAACTCCACTGAAAAATTACTTGTATTCGCCGCTAATCGTGTCGGCGAAATCCTCGAATCGACCACTGTTGATGAGTGGCACCATGTTCTGAGCGGCGATAATCCAGCTGATACCGGTACGCGGGGGATTTCTTCGGAAGCCCTCAAGGTTCACCTTGAAAATAGATGGCGATTTCTTTTTACTTGCCTCACCACCAGGGCTGTACACCTTGAGTTTGTACCATCTCTGGACACCAGTTCTTGTGTCATGGGCATTGAACGGTTCATTGCGCGCCGTGGTACGCCAAGCACAATCTGGTCGGATAACGGCACGAACTTCGTTGGTGCGGAAAAGGAATTACTTGCCTGCATCAAGAGCTAGAATGGCATGGCTCCGACCATTTTTGCACACAAAGGTGTCACTTGGAAATTTAACCCGCCAGGCGCACCCCATCATGGCGGCTCCTGGGAACGCCTCGTCCGAAGCGTGAAGCGCGTGCTGTACGATATCCTAGGCAGTAGGTGAGTCACTGAAGAGGTGTTAGGAACAACACTCTGCTTAGTTGAGCAGGCTTTGACTTCGAGGCCAATCACTCCCGTTAGTACTGATTCACGTGAGCTAGAAGCGTTAACCCCAAACCACTTTTTGCTTGGACAACATGCCACAAGCTTTCCTTCGCTTTTACCCGGGGAGCACTTCGATCACAAGAAAAGGTACGTGCGAGCGCAGTCATATGCTAACGCGATTTGGTCTCGTTGGCTTCGAGAATATGTTCCCTCGCTGAATAAGCGCGTCAAGTGGCACACTCATTCTGACTTCACATTTAAAACAGGCGACCTTGTGTGGGTGATTGAGCCAGACAGTCAGCGTGGGTACTACCCTCTGGCCCGAATCGTCAATCTAAACTACGGACAGGACGTGAAGCTAGACCCGTGAAGTCACTCGGCCGACCGTTAAGCTCGCTCCGGTTCTTCCTTCTTCAGGGGGGAGGATGTTGCAAAGCAAATGTAGAGTATAGATGCATATAAAACAAGAGTATAGATTCATATAAAAAAGCACAGTTGGCCGAGTGGCCTAAGCTAACGCCGATTATATGTGTGACATAACAGTTGACGTAGGTTTGAGTCCCACACCTGCCCATGTATTAATATACTAAAAACGGGGATTATATCCTATTTTAACTGTTTTTTGGTTCTAATTCGGTTCAGCCTTGATTAAGGCTGACCGCCAAAAAGAGCAATTTGTCTCAAGGACATTACCGACCGGTTCTTGTGGCTAGCTTGCGCCAATTTGTTTATTGGAGCTGAATATTGGTTAAAAAATTATGAACTTGTTTAACAGCAAAAACTTGAATGAAAATTATCAATATATCCGATAAATTCTGTATTGCCGAGAATACGAATTCATTATTGATTTTTCGGTTTTAACTTCATTCTACGGAGATTTAGCGAGCACACCGCTGATATACCAAATTGTACAATTATAACGCATCAAAACAGTGCACAAAAACTTGCCAACAGACACAGGTGACTTGCGTCAACTTTAGAGCATGAGTTGAACCGGATAAGTGGAAACTATAACTTTTTCCGAGAGCTCTAAAAAATTTTCAAAGAAGAAGTATAGCATGAACTCTTCTTGCCTCAGTCTGGTCGCTCGAATTCTTCGGCAACTACCTTTTAGGAAATCGGTTACAAATTTTAACCAATCACAAAGTTATGATTACTGTTTCAATCGAAAATCGAAGAAATAAGACTTATCAAAATAGATTAATCCGATGGGCAGACCTGATGCTGCATTTTGAATTCTCGACCTTGCGTTTTGGCTTCAGGAATCTTTTATTTATAGCGTTTCCAACTTCTCCTTATAAAGACCAACTTTTTCGATGAAACACTCCAAACTTTTGGCGAATGTTCCCAGTCTGTAAACATTTCGAAAAACCACGCAATATACTCTGACGAAGTCTTGCTCAAGGAGGCCAAACATTTTTGACCAATAAAAACATGATACTTCTTTAAGACTTGAGTCAGAAACGAAAAAAATTTTGCTGTATCACCATTAGGCAGCACTAGAAGAACAGATGTGTCCATTCACCAATTAGAACAGTCAATTTTCACCATCATTCTAGATCATCACGGTTATTTTGAGAGCGAAACTTTATACAAATAAAAAGTTTTACGCAAACTTAAAAATGTTTAAAAGAGGGCGCCTTTTGATGGATTTTATTTTGGCGAATTGATCATTTCATACATTTTGGTAAAGTATCATTACAGAGAGGATTTTTATTTCGCAAATTATTCAATCTTTCATGGAATCTGCTCAAATTTGCAACTTTTTAATAGATGTTGGGGCTTACATAGAGAAATTTTTATCAAATCAAAGTCCTCGATAAATGATTTGTCATAGAGAAGCCACCTTAAATTCATTGCCACAAGAGAGCGGAGAATAGAAACTCGACCAATAAGGAGATGTTAAATCGTGTTAGGCCAAATTTTTTAGCCGTAATCTAGTCCCAAATTTTAACATTCAAGACAAACAGCTTCAATTTGAACTTGAATCTCAACGACAACCCCAACTTATTTGATGAATTTTTCAATAACTGTTAGACTTAAGACAGATTGTGGTACCCAATCAAAGTTTTGAGAAAAAACAGAGGCTGATTTTGCGGTTGTTGAGAAAAAAACAGAAGTGCTGAAGAGGATACCTAGGGCTAAAAAGGATGCCCAGAGTCGAATTGTTTTTGCGTCAAGTGAGGAAAGCCATTGCATTGCCATCAAGCAAACTTGAAATCAGCTGAAATTAAACCCTACACTACTGGTCGACATTGCCTCCTCGGAGCAGATCTTTTTTGATAAAAATCAAAACCGAGGACAATTAAAGGGCCCGCTACGAAAACATAGTCGCACGAAAAAGCATAAACAAGGGACTCCTGGGAGAATTACTTGCGTCTGAGCAAATTAGTTGTTCCCCTGCTCCACCGGTCACGTCATGGGCAAAAGACGATGTGGGACGTTGCCAATAACTTTTGGTCGCCATAGATGCACAGATAGATCATCGACGCCTTTCAAGATTTGAGGATCATGCTCGGCGTGTGGTAAAAACTCTTGAAGGATATGTTTTGTAGGCCTTAACTAGACGGAAAAAGTTTTTTGTTGTTTCATTTTTGGTAGAAATTCATTGTTTTCCAAAATACCTTTCAGCTTTATTGACTAAAAATTCAGAAACGAGACTAGTTTTAAGTTTTTCAACGGTTATTTTAGTCGTTATATTAAACAAAAGAACTTAAGCATGGATCAAAATTCAAATAATAAGACTAAAAAACTGATAAACGGAAGGTAATTAGAAAGAGTCATTTTCCGCTACAACTAAACTCAGTCAATCAATTGATCGGAATTAGGCTCAAAACAACTTCAGTCAGCGTTCTAAGGAAACTTCTGAATCATTGCAATTCAAGCAACCCGAGCAAAGTTTTTTTGTTCAGCTCCTTTTTGGCTTACGCTTCCTATACGCTTCATTGACGAAGACATCGAAGACGCCGTTTACACCAGTTCCCTAAATATACTACGTGAACCAAATTTTTGATTTACTAACCTCAAACTATCATCAAGCATTTCGGTGCAGCAGAAGATTCCTGCGGTGTTAGGCTGAGAGCCTTTGTCGCAACAGTCGAAAAAAAACAGGCATCGCAGTCTCGTGATCTGACTGTGGAAGTCTTAATTAGAGAGAATGAGAGCGCAATTGATCATTGCTAGATCGCTACAGTTTTTTTTCAACTCTTCTTGAGTGGTGGCAAACTAGCTACTAAAAAGGCCCATTGGTGATCAGTTCGAAGAAGGACACTTCAAAAAAACCAATTGAGGTCGATAACAATCTAAATTCGGAATCAAGTAATTTTGCTCAAGTATTCAGTGAAGAACGTTGAAGAAAATGTAACCGTGGCGATACTAGTTTTTTCTTGGGTAAAACGATTTTTTTTTGATCTTTCGACAATACCCCGCAGTTGTCCACCATTGAAGGAGCCGGCATTTATGCAGTTCAAGCCAACTCATTTATTCTTCAAAAAAACGGACTGAATTTTTAAAAAATTTTGAAAACCTTGTTTTTTCATAATTGAATTTGCTATTATACTATTTATGAAATTTTCCTAGAGAGGAAAATGTTGTGGAAGTGGTTGTCCACCAACAAGTTATGGTTGGACTCTGTGTTCTTAAGGTCATTGCCTTCGTTATTAATCACTGTTAAACGATTAACGATTAAAACAAATACCTTCAGTTTCAGTCTTTGATGATGTTATCTAGATTATTAGTGACAATTCCATCAGTCTCACGTCAGCTATAAAAAAATAATTGTTGCACACATTGATTTTATTTGACACGTTTATGTAAATTCATGTTATTTAAACGTTTGTTATCTTACAATTATTATGAAAAGTTTTTTTTCAAAGATTTAATTAGCAGTTATACGTCAGAGTGTTTTCATGAAAAAACTATCAGATATTCCACAAAGCCCAGATTATTGAAAAAATATCCTAAAAATGAAATGTTTGCTTCTTGGGTTGCGATATTTTTTGCGGACAAATAAGTTGGCGACTCAGCTCTGTGTTACTCAAATAGGTCGCAAAAATCTCGTAACATATTTTTTAAACAAAAAACACCAAAAAACACCTAAAATTTTTAAAAATATCGTAACAAAAAACACCTACATTGGTTAACTACATCTATGTTATGGTGTTCAAAAAGTCAAACATACGATTTTGGCAAAACTGTTGAGTATTAGCACTGTTGAAAATCGTTTTTTCCAAAACTGTTGTACTTACGAACTGTTTTGAGTGCTTCGGCAAAGTTGTAATAATAGTTTAACTAACATCTACCCTGCTAATCTAATTTGTCGCTCTATAGATCAGATCAGAACAAACATCAATTGATATCCTGATAACGATTGGCAAAATTTGACAAGAAAAGGATAACTGCGGCATCTCAAAGTTGCATTTTTTAAGTCATGACAACAGAAGTTTTGAGCAATAAGAGATCATTACCAGGCCAAACTGTGCATTTTGTGAGTTGCAAGCGGATTCCGCAACAAGGATGCCCCCTTTGTTCTGCTTTTGTTCCTTCGTTTTTTTGATCGTTCCAACTAAATTTTAACATTTTTAGACTTCTCTGTGGAATCTAGAAACATGCAGACGTTAAAACTTGCAACCCTCCAGTGAATAATTTGGCCTCGTAATGATCAAGCCAAAAGAAAACAACCCTGGCCAAAAGCAGTTATTCGTACAAAACCACCACTGATTTTAATTGAGATCTTAACCCCCAATTGGTTAAAAAGACTTTTAGGTAGAGTTATCATTCGTTGGGATTATTGGGTACCAATTTCTAGCTAACCCTTAGTACTATTTGTCCCTTATGAGCCTTAAATAGTTTTTTCTAACAAATCTTCTGAATAAATTTTTTTTCAAAAATCTCGCCGTGATCATAATGTATTTTTAAAAAATTTCAATTTTGCTTGAGTAACATGAAGAAATAACTTTTCAAATGCCGCGACCTTAACATTAATTTTTTCAGCGGCCGTAATGAAACCTAGCATTAGCAAGTCATTCAAGTTATATAACCACCATTGATTATATTTTTTATGCAGCAGAGAAAATAAGCATCACCAAGGTTCAGTTAGACACACCAAGCACGATTGCTATGAATTGCACGCTAAATTTATCTTCGAAAATTTTCAGGGATGTTTCAATTAATTCTTTGACATACTGTGTTAATTTGTTAAGACTAATACGATCAGAATTAGCTATTTTTAAGTTTGCTTTTCTCATAATATGATGAGAAGCACAGTAAAAACGAGTAAAAAATGAGTAACAACTATTGAATCAGAATTAATGGTTGTATTAAGATATGGATTAGATAATCAGTCAGCAGGCTATCTATCAATTTGAGTACACAGTTTCCAGTAAATTAAGATAGAATTTCACAATTTAATATTTTATTTTTGAAATATTAACAGTTTTACTGCGCAAACATTAAGGTACGCGTAACATCTTAGGAGTAAGAACAAATGGGATATTATAGTTTCAAAGAACGAAATAAAAAATGATTTAGAATCCTGATTTATAATGAGACAGTGAAACTTCAGCTAATTTTAATGAATTATTGGATTGATATAGGCAAAAAATAGTTCAAAACAGCAAGTTATCTTAAAGTTTTTCTTAAATTTCTAATTTGATAACGCTAGAAAAAATTTGAATCAAAGTTTTTAAATAGAATTTTCAATCAAAACACTGACATTAATCCGGGTCACCAGTCAGATTTGTTTTTTTTTCTAAGCAGGAACAGTTCTCATCCAATCTAACAAAAAAAATTATTTTTACTGAAAAGTTATTCATGACGTTAAATTATACTGTTTTTTTTTTCTGTTATACTGTTTTATTCACTATACTGTTTTATTCATCAAACTTCTATTTTTACCTTGTGAGAAATCCAATTATTTCTTTGGCAATACTCAATCTTTTGAAACAACTATTTATTTGACAAAAAATTTGTTAACGCAATAACAAAAAAGTAGTACAGATTCTTTTTAAAAATAGTTTTCAATAGGAGCAAAATTATATACAGAAAAATTTTGTAACATTAAAAACATTTAAAATACTTTTCTGAAATTGGAGGAAAAAAAATTTAAGCGATTCTAAACATTGAATACAAAAAAGGTAGAAGTACAAATGCTGAAAAATTAATTAAAGATTCTGAAAATTGAAAATAAAAAACAACAAGACTGCTCGTATCAGGGCGAAGCCCTGAATGTTCCGACTGCCTTTTAAGGTTTATGGAGTAGTAATAACATTAAAAAATTTAATGTAAGAAAAAATTAAATGAAAAAAAAAATTTCTAAAATTTGAAATTTTTTATGAAAATCATCCCCCCACACGCCATACAAAGTACAAAAGGATAGATTTTGCTCCTTGTAACAAACCAATTATGGCGAATAAGCTTCTTTTAACCAATTTGGAACGATTTCTAAGACGGATTAACTCTCCGCTTACGCGTTATTAGCGCGAAATATATCGCGCGTTAATTGTCCCAAATTGGCCAAAATGGCAATCTTTAAACCCCCATAACTTTACGAAAAATGATCAGAGGTGAAATATCTTTTCAAATTTGAGCTCAGGACAACAATACCTTTCGAATGACAAAAAAAAATTCTGTCAAAAATGGCTAGTTAAAAAGTCGAAATTTGTCTGAAGAAAAAAAAACCCACCCCGAGCACAAATATTCCGTTACTTTCGTATCGAAAGTCGGAACAAAAATTAAAAATTGTGAAATTTTAAGATCAAATACCTTTACTCTTGTCAAAAATTAGTTTTTTGACGGACAGTAAAACAATTGTTTAAATCTAGTTAAATAGATAGCGTATTTAATAAAATCATTTGATCACTCCAATCGATTGTCCAGATTCTTTATTGTTCCGACTTTCGATTCGGGTGGGTTTTTTTTTTCTTCAGACAAATTTCGACTTTTTAACTAGCCATTTTTGACGGAATTTTTTTATATCATTCGAAAGCCATTGTTGTCCTGAGCTTAAATTTGAAAAGATATTTCACCTGTGATCATTTCTCGTAAAGTTATGAGGGTTTAAAGATTGCAATTTTGGCCATTTTGACCATATTGGGACAATTAACGCGCGATATAATTCGCGCTATTAACGCGTAAGCGGAGATTTAATCCGTTTTATAAATCGATCCAAATTGGTTGAAAGAAGCCTAATTGATTTGTTACAAGGAGCGAAATCTATTGTTCTGTACTTTATATGGCGAGTGGGGGGATGATTTTCATAAAAAAAACTTCAAATTTTAGAAAAAAAATTTTCATTTTATTTTATTTCATTTAATTTTTTATGTTTTTACTGCTGCTCCATAAACCTTAAAAGGCAGTCAGAACATTCAGGGCTTCGCCCTGATACGAGCAGTCTTGTTCTCCTCATAATTGCTTCTGCAACAACATTTTAGTGTGGATTTGTTGTCTGATTTTATATTGAAATATGCGTCGAAGTTTCTCTTTGCTTAGATTTTTTGACTTATTATCTAAAAAGACAATATTGTATAAGCTTAAAAATAAATAAATACATAAAAAACTTGTCAGTGAATAATTTTTTTTTCAAATTGAGAAACTCTCAAATTCAATAATTTATGTTACTGATTTTCCAATTTTATTTGTTCGTAACTTTTTTATTTTAATATAATTCAGACAGCTGAGAAAATTTTCGAGATAATTGTTATCTCTCATACTCACTTTCTTCCAATTTGAACCTAAATTACTGTTGATGCAATTAAATTTTAGATGAAGAAGGACAAATAAAACATATTTAGTAAAAAGTTTAAAACTGGATATGAAGGATGCGTTTTTAAGGAGCAGAACATTTAAAAATTTAATACAATAAACAGAATTGTGCAAGACGAGAACAAAATACAGATAATCTGAGCATAAAACATTGGTGCGTCAAATGAAACTCAGTTTTGATTGTTTATCCGGCTTTGTTCATATGGAAATCAGCAGTGGATAAGGTAATCTATCGAATAATTGCAAAAAATATTTGGTGTTAACGGCGTGCGTTGGAAAGAAAGAATAATCCCTTCAGTGTTTTGGCCAAAATTTATGAATGTTTTTAAATAACTTAAAAAATCAAATTTAATAACACTGAGATCTGTGAAGTAACTTTCTACATTACGGTCATTAGGAAAATTTTTGGTGGAACCAGTAGAATTCGGTAAAACATAGGGATCGTTAGGCAGCTATATCCAATACCCAAACTTACGATAACTCCACCGTATTGTCATGTTAAACCCCTACTGCTTAGAATCCCTAACTCGGCTTCGAAATAAATGAAGCTTATATATTACTATATTACATTATGATTTCTACTGATGTTTTGGAAACATTAGGCTTAAAAAATTCCAATAAAAAATTTCAAACTATTTTTTGTTTTGGGCTACTCATTAAGAAAAATATATTTTTTATTAAAGGTCTTGACTTAGAATCCGATACCATAAAGCAGTTTTTTGATCTAATCAGATTTATCATCGGATAGTGTTGGTTGAATTTCTAACTATTTTTTGTTTTGGGCTACTCATTAAGAAAATTTTTTTTTTTATTAAAGGTCTTGACTTAGAATCCGATACCATAAAGCAGTTTTTTGATCTAATCAGATTTATCATCGGATAGTGTTGGTTGGAATGCAACTCTTATCCCACCAATTTTCCAGCCCCATTGTCATAAAGAATTTGCAAATGATTTTGACATGCAGGTAGTTGTCAAAAAAGAAAAAAACCGTTCCAAGAAATCCAGAATATAACAAATCGCTTAAGCATTGGTAAGTAATCAGAAAATAATCCAGGGTGTGAAGCTCCTCCGAACGCAAAATTACCATCAGACAATACAGATTTAGAAGCAAAACTGTCAACAACACCGGTATCTAAACAAAAATTATAACAAGATTTGAAGTATTTTGGTTATAAAACTGACGAAACAGAATTAAAAAGTTGCAACAGAAAACAAGTTACTTTTTTGTATGTTTCAAATTCTTCAATTCAATTTATTATCTTACGAACTAATGTGAACCACAAAAGAAAGTAATTTATGGTTAACCTATTAATAAGGTCAAATGGTTCACATCGGTTCAATTTGGAACGCAATAAATTGCTCGTGTTATAAGAACGCAAAAACTCGCGCGTTAATTATCTGAAGTTGGCCAAATAAGCAATTTTTAATCCCCCATAACATTTTAAAAAAGACTACAGCTAAAATAACTTTTGAAACTTGAGCTTCAGACAGCAATATCTTTCAGATGGCACAGAAGACTGTCAAAACTGCTAAACAAAAAACACTCCAAGAACACTCCATTAATCTTCGAAAATTGGAACCTTTGTTTTTAAATTTTGTCTCGCAGTAACCAATTTTTTTAAAAAGGAATTTTCCGATCAACGCTTTGAGGTTAGATCCATTTAGCAATCATGCCACTCTTATCTTGCTCGGTTTTTTTCTACCGCAGCTTTAGAGTGACTTTTTGTCGAAACTCTAGCCAGTTTCTTTCTGGTTATTTTTACAGACTCTTGTGGACATCCACCAAAGTTTCCCGGATAAAAAACTGTGTATTGAGAAAACTCTGCAAAAAGAGATGCCATTAAATTTGATTTTGTGTAACCAATTCAACAAGTTCTTCAAATAGAATAATAAGAAAAACGATTGCTTTTCAGAACAATTTTATCGCAGCATGTTTCCACCAAAAACTGTTTGTATCTTCGTATAACCAATTTTTGTCACCAACTTATAATTTTTTTTCGATAATTTATTTTTGACGCCATATTTTTCCACAAAAGTTTATTTTTGTGCCTTATAATCGCAAAAAAAATCAAATTTTGTTTTAATAGAATCCTCAGAAAACATTTCTCAATAAAGCATGAATTTTTGATTCAAAAAGTTAATCAAAATCAAAAGTAATTTTGATTTTTGATTTACATTGATTTTTCAATATTTTTTGAAGCCATTAGTTTCCACGGAAATATATGTTTGTGGTATATAATTGCAATAAACTCGAATTTTGCTTTAATAGAATCCTCAGAAAAACTGACTCACAAAAAACATTCTTCTTTAATTTAAAAAGTAAATCAAAAATCAAAAGCAACCAACATGGATCATTGCAAGCATGTAGCAAATAAAAATCGTATTTTTTGAAGATAATTTTAGAAAGTCCATATGAGTTGTAGTTCCAAAAAAATCAAAGGCAAAAAACCGACAAATGAAAGCAGGATGAATACCAATGCGCTACTACACTAAAAACAAAAAAAAAACAAAGCAAAAATTTGGAATGTCACTGCATGGTACAATTTTTTTAAATTGTTTGGAGAAAAAAACAATAGATTATTTATGATTTGTGTGGAGACAAAAAATTTTCCGGTTATTTTTTTTTGAAATACAAATTTTAATTCCAATAAAATTGGTATGAAGTAATTTAATGGATAACTTTGACTATATAACCTATTTTTTGTCTTCAAAGATAAATTAGTCAGATCATCAATGTTTTTTGGTTAAATGCATTTTCGAACAAAAAACTGACAGATGATTGATTATCAACAGGAAAAAATTGGTGCATGAACGGCGCCCACTTCTGTTGCAATTCAATGCTTATTCAAATAAAGTTTGCACTTCCTTTGATTCTCTTTGTTTTGTCCCACAGTAATCAGTTTTCTTACAATTTGTGACTTTTACGCTCAAAGCTTTGATGTCAGATCCATTTGGCAACCATCTCACTCTTTTGTTGCTCGGTTTTTTCTACCACACAATTACATGTCTTTTTGTCGAAAATATGGCCTTTTTTCTTATTGTTTTTTTCACCCACTTTTGTTGAACCGCATCAATGTACAACTCTCGGTCAAAAAAAGTGTTTTGTGAAAACCCTGCCGAAAAAGATGCCGTTAAACTTGATTATGTGTAACCAGTTCAAGCAACAATTTTTATTAAGATAAGAAAACGGATAGTTTTGCAGAATAATTTTATCGCAGTATGTTCCCACCAGATACTATTTTAATCATCTTATATCTTCTTTATGTCATCATCTAATCTGTCTCTATAATCTTTTTGTAAATTTTTTTTCACAATAATCTAATTTGGACGCCATATAGTTCCACAAAATCTTGTTTTTGTGCTGTAGAGTTGTTTTAAAATTAAGTTTTGTTTCACTAGAACCCTCTAAAAAATTGACTCACAAAAGCATGAAATTTTATTTCAAAATGTAAACCAAAAGTCATTGGCAAGCAACATGGATCATTGCAAGCATGAAGTAACTAAAAATAGTTAGTTTTGCTGATAATTTTTAGAAAGTCCAGATAATTTTTAGTTCCAAAACAGTCTAACGCAATAGTACCGGAGAAAAACGATTGCATGATTGATACTCAATGCGCTAATACAATGAAAAGAAAAATAAATAATTTGAAAAATTAGAAGGTAAATTGAAATGGGTAAATTTTGCAACCCATTTCTGAAAAGATTTTATATTCTTGTATTAAAGGGGCAAATCATGCTTACTTTGATTCATGATTTTATTCCAACTTAATGAAAAAATTAGATTGTTTGGTATGTTATAAAAAATGTTCGAATAATATCGAGAAAAGAACAAAATATCACATCGCATTTTTATGGAGAGAAACATACACTTTCCGGTTATTTCAGTGAAAAATAGATATTTCAATTTCGAAAAAATTGACACAAAAAGGTAACTGAATGGATTTTTTTGACTATATAGTTTTTGTCTTCGAATTCTTCTACATTAATTGCACTTTCGAACAAAAAAAACGCCAGATAATTGGCTATTAACGGAGAAAAATTGGTGCGTGAACAGCGTCTCACTTTTGTTGAAACTGAATGCTTATAAACATGAAGTTTGCACATCCTTATAATGAAACGTCACATGTTTTCGATACGTGGTTTTTTTGTTTTTTTCTCAACCTCCACTCAGCTTTTTTCATCTGTTCTTTTTTCTTTGGTCTCGCTGTTCTTTCTCAAAGAACTCTGTCTCTCTTCTTAATTGTCCCATCTGGACACTTCGAATGAATCGCTCGTTGAAGTTTTATTTATACCTGGGGTGGTTTTTTATTCAGACAATTTTGAATATTTAACGAAGCATTTTTGACGGCAATTTTCTTTCCATCTGAAAAATAATGTTTTTTTTTTGAGATCAAAAAGAAAAAAGTTAAGATTCTTTTTTGAAAATTTATGGCGGTTTGAACACTGCTAATTAGACCAATGGGGATAATTAACGCGCGATATATTCCGGTCTGAGAACACGCTCAGATGGCGTTCTATTGGGTTTTAAATAAAATTTAGGAAATTAAATGGTCGTTTTATTAGTATACAAGACGCCAAATTCATCATTTTGTTTTTAATATGGGGGGTGAAAAAAAAACAAATAATAATAATTATTCTGTTAATTTTTTAACCCAAACTCTTTTAAACTGGCCTCAAAGTGCATTCGGAACGATCAGAGTTTCGCGTTATAGCCAAGCATTCTTGTTACGTCACTAGTTTATAAGTTTTTTGTACGCAATAAACTCCTACACTGTTCGGTAGAAAATTTTACTTACAAAAATATGAAAAATAGCGTTTTTAGAAGCAGTTTAGCAGTGTTTTAAATCTTGCTTTTGATTGAGCCCATTTGGTGAGCAAATGTTGCTGTTAGTTACTTTTTATAACTTTTTTTACTCTTTTGTTGATATAAAATAGTTGATATAATATAAACTATTTTGTCAACAGGTCCAAGAAGACGGTTTTTTATTCGTTTTTTTTTGTTCTCGCAACAATGTTAGAACAAACACATTGAAATCGATTGTTTGGGGTTGAATGCTTTTCAAAATTACAATTTTTATAACTTGAGTTCCCACGTATGACCATATTGTGTTTCATAAGTGTTGTTTGAATTAAATTGTGCTTTACTCATCATTAGCTGTGTACGATAATTAAACGACAAATAATGAAATCAAATAATTTTTGTAAGAATTTTTGGTGTTTCAGTTTTATAAAGTTTATGTTGGTCATCTAAAATTTTCCCTGAAAAGATTTGTAAAATAATTTTTGATTTTACATTGGTGTAAAAGACAGTAAATGTATAGCTTACCCAGTGAAAAAAAATGGTGAGTACTTGAATTTGTTTGGGTTAGTCTTTTTAATTCAATCCGTTAATCAATCATACAAAAATTAACCTAGAGCCAGTCCTTAACAAATTTTAACAAGTTTTTGACTGATTTCTGGGGTGTAGTATGAGCAGTTTTTTATGTATGGTTAGGTTAGTATGTAAACTTTGTGGTTTTATTCAAGCATTTAAGCATTTGCTTGTTTCAAAGCCTTGATTCTCTGCAAAATTTTTATACTTATTTTGGCGCCGGTATCTTAACAAGAGTTTTTTTTTACCATTCACCCATTAATTGGTTAAATATGCGAATTGTTTGATTAAATGTTTTTTTAAACTTTTTAAATTGAACATGGTTGATTGCACCATGTTCAATTTCGAAAATCGGACCATACTTTTGTTCATCAATTTCATTTTTTCATTGGTTTGATTTGTCTCTAGACAATTTTCTAAAATTTTTGAGAGAATTTGTTGATAATGCTGCATTTTTTTAGCATATTCCAATCATGGTTGCCTAATATCGATAATGTTTCCTCGATTTTGGTTTTTTTAGCTATATTTCTTAACATTAAATCACTTTGTTGACAACGAGCGACAATCATTGTGGTATAAGACCTACCGGCATTTAAGATTAGTCTTAAAAATTCGTTTAAAACAGTCTATTCTATTGATTTGTTTTAAATAATATTGTAATTGATTTTAAAGATCAAATTACCTGTTGAAAAGACTTGCAACTGATTTCAATCGAATTAATTTCCAAGAGAATTTTATCTACTATAATGCAATATAAACTATTATATTCCTCACAAGTAAACTTTTTCAATCAATCAGAATTTTTTAATCTGCCAAAACTTTGTCACACAAAAAAGTGAAAGTGTTTTAATTCACCTATGGGTTATTTTTTTCTGAAACAAAAGAAATCAAAAGAAATCTCCAATTGTGAGATGTTTTGTTCCACTGTGGTTCATCTTACAAATTAAGATCCTAAGACAAAGGTTTTATAAGAAAATTTTGAGAATTCATTAAAATTTTGGGATACTTTAAAATTAATTGAAAGTTTCCCGCGGTAGCTAGAACAATTTCTTCCGAATAAATCAAAAAATTAAAACAATTTTCTGCTAGTTTCATAGTTTAAAAAATGAAGGAGCATGATGAACCAAGTCTGATTTAGCAGAATAATTGCAGAAATTATTTTAACATTTTTCACATTAATCAACGTCTCTGAAAAACTTAAGCTATAAACTACTCAGATTCAAGGTCCCAACGAAAAAAAGCAACAAAAAAAATTAAAATCGATTGAAATAAAAATTTTGTGAACAACAATTAAATTAAAACGTCTGACAATCATAATCGATTGTAATCGATTTTAGTTGTATCATAAAAGGTGTATCAATAATCGCTCATAATCGGCTAGAGCTTGTTTCTTAAATGACCTCAAATTTTTTTCAAAGCGAAAGATCATAGTTGATCAAAAATGACTATAATAAGCTTTTATCAGTTTTAGTCAGAGTTGTTACAAAATCTTGAAGATTCATTATTTTCTTTCTCTGGTGAATTTTTATCAATTTTTGTTGCAATAAATAACAAGTTCTTTCAAAAAATTACTTGAGTTGTTGCTACTTGAAAATTGTGTTTTAGGCTAGCCTATACTACTTTTTGAGTCTGGGCTGTCTTTGGGCTGGAAAAAATTGTACTGTTTTGAAGAACGGTATGGATACTCCTCCAAATTTGCGGTCATTTTCTTGGGTTTCTTTGAATAAATAATGTGGCTGCCGGCTGATCGCTTTCAGTTATAGATAGTATGGCATCAGTAAAACATGAAATTTAGTTCGCAGCTTTTACGGAACAAATTTATAATCTTACGCGTTAACTGGTATACTTGAGTCCTTAACTCAGTATGATTTTTTTTTTTTTTTATCATTTCATACTATTTTAGCTTCTTGTAATTTTGCTGTTGATAGTTTATACAGTGTTTTTAGTTCATTCTGAGCTTTGCATCCTAAAATTCCTAAAATGTTTTCCTGCCCAACTTGTTTTTAGAGTTCTCAATATTAAGCTCAATGCTAAATTAACGTAATTAGTTATATCTGCGGATATTCTTTGGTAGATACCATATGGGGGAGAGGTTGCTAAGTAGATCCGATTTCTCCTAATCTTAAATTGGGATGGTGGTTATTCGATTCATTCATTTGTGATTGCGTCTTTGGTTTGAAAAACAAAATATAAAATCTTGTGAAATTCTAAATTCTTTTTTTTATAGTATAGCCTTATTAGTTATTATAAGTATTATTTATTTAATCTGCGATTCGTTGTTGATTTTGGTTTTTACACCAAACAAAATTTAACTCTGATTTGGTGCTGCTTATTTTTTAAGCTAACCTTTGTGTCAGTTTTTTGCATGGGTAAGGTACATTGAATTAGACTAATACCAAAATGTGTTTTTCTCAAAAAATTGGACCTTATAACTTATTATATTTTCTTTTCTCCGATAACTTTCATAGTCTAAAAACAATTAAAAGTCTAATTATTCATAGTCTAAATTTGCAATAAAAGTTTTTTTTCAAATGCTAGTCACACAATTTTTTTTTAAAAAATGTACGATGATCATTTTTCTGTTTTTTTCTCTCCAAAAATAAGTTAGAAAAAAAAAACAATACACTAGGGTATCAGTGCCTGGACTACGTTTAAATCGTTTTTTTTTAAATTAGTTTGTTCTTGCCTTGAAATATTTGTGTGATTACAAAAAAAAAACTAGAAATTGTACCCATTTATAAAGTTTTTCAAATGCTTGTCACACAATAACCATTTTTCAGTTTTTTTTTCTCCAAAAATAATTTAGAAAAAAAATCTATACAAGTTTTTGTTCAAGTAGAAGAAAACACTTTTGTTGAAAATTGCTAGTCATGCGCTCTGTCTGTGACTAGCATTTTATTTGTGTTGAAGTCATTCCGGGCAATCTACCTGCAAATTCAAATGAACAGAAAAGACAAGAAGATTGCGAGAACAAAGTTTCGTGAAAAATGTATAGGTGACCTGCATATGTTAGGAGGTAGGGATCATGTGAAACGACTCTACTGAGTTGTCAGACACTGTTTATCTTGCTTTTCATTTCATATTGTCAACTGCTTTAAGACATTAAACATGAATATTTGAAACTTTTATTTTTCATTGCTCTGACCACTAAAAATATGAAGCACTTTTGTTTTTGGGTGTGTAATAGTTCGTTTTTTTGACAAATTTTTTCCACGCAAAGTCAATGCCCTCAAAAAATCTTTAGAATGGACCACGTGATCCTTTTTAAAACCATTTCGAACGTTTTAGATTTTGATTTGAGCGACATAAAAATTATCATAAAAAGGAAAAAAAGTGAGAACAACCACGTTTTGGTCTAATTTGAAATTAAAAAAGACTGCGACAAAGCTGAAATCTATTAAGAATTGGAAAAAGTTATGAATATGTTTTCAAATCTTTTTCAATTATTACGAGGCCCAACTGCGGACTACACTTAAAAATTTTCCTTGGAATACGGGTACAAATAACTTTAAGAAACGTTTTATCGCCACATTTGCTTAGTTGCTCAAAGTTAAACTGAGTCCACAAAATTTTTAAGCGGAATCCGCAAATGTAAGGGGATTCCGCCTATTGTAGGTGGATTCCGCAAGTTTCCACTAGTGGATTCCGCGAGTGGATTCCGTTGAAAAACTAAAAGCTGAAAATTAATTGTTTAAAAAAACCCAATATAGGTTTTCACCTCCCCAGTTAAAAAGTTTTTATCCTTGATTTTGGTTTAGTTAACTGCTTGTAAAATTACAGGCGCCGTGAAAAAGAGCCTCATTGTGATATAGTAGTTTAAATATCAAAACGAGGTAAAAAACAAAACATTAAAACACTGGAATTATTAAATGCGTGCGCATTTTTTCCCATTGTTTCATTACTTTTAATTAGATCAGCAATATCCTGTAAAAAAAAGTTTACCGGAAGTTAAAATAATATATTCATCACAATGCATCCTTTTGTGATGTTGATCTGATTTTTGGTGCAAAAGATAAAAATTAATTTAACAGCTTTTTTGAAGGGGTAAAACGAAAAACAACAAAACACTGTTTTTTATAATTTTCTGTGAATTTTTTGTCCCATTGTTTAAGAACTTTCAAATAGATGAGCAATATCCTGTAAAAAAAAGTCGAATTGGAATTGAAATGAGATAATCATCACAACGATTGGGTAATGTTGATATAATTTTTGGTGCAAATGTTTCAGAGTCATTAAAAACTTGTTTGACATCACTAAAAAAAATTTTGTTAGATAATTTTCTATTTTTGGGTAAAATTAGCTTTTAAGTCATTAAAAACTTGTTTGACATAACTAAAAAGAAGTTTTTGTTAGGTAATTTTCTATTTTTGGGAAAAAATAGCTTTCAAAGTATTTGAAATGAGAATAAATTTCTCTAACATTGCTCGAATGAATCGCGTTAGATTAAACAATTTAAGCCATGATTTACCTGAGCAACTTCACCAGCAAATTTGACAGCAAACGGTAAGATGATCTCGTTCGGTTTCATTACAATATCTTGTCGGCTCAAGTAATCTTCAGGCGCGATATAGTAGTACTAAAAGCAAAATAATCAATGAATGATTGCATTAGTATGTCTGAAAAAACCTGTTTAAGCTGTAACATTTTGAACTCGGTTGAAAATTTAGATCAAGTGAACATTCAACCCTCCCTCTCCCCCCCCCATTAATAGACCAATTTGAGATACTCCGACCCAGCGTTGAAAATAAATTAAACTTGCTAAGCGCTGCGTGTGAAACGCTCTGTTCCGATTGGCGGAAAGTTCGAACTCAGAACCGAGTTAACATCCTCCCCCCTAAACGTGTTTGGGGGATTGTTTACTGGAACCAAAATTTTGTTGTTGGAGAAAATTTGAAATCAAGAGTGTTTTTTTTTGCTTAAAACTTTTACGTGGCCAAACTGTGTATTTTTTAAATTATAAGCGGATTACGCAAAATGGACGCTCCCTTTGTTCTTTTTAATGTTTGATAGTTGATAATATGAATTCGTTCATGTGTTGTTTATGGTAACTTCCCAAATGGCATAATTCCCAAATGGCATAAAAATGGAAATTTTTCCCAAATGGCATAAATTTCAAATTTTCATTGTAATTTAAACGTTTTCTATCAATTTCTAATTCTAACATTTTGTCAGGAACGAAAACATGTGAGCACGATTTGGAGTTAATTACTCCAAACAAATTTAAGCAACATATTTGTCGAAAAAAATTGACCACAAGCAGCTTATTGATAATCGCAAGCTTATGCTTCTTGCTTTTGATAAAAAGTTCTACAAGTTTTTTACGATAAAATGTCAATCAACATTTGAATTGACAATTTGACTAATTTTCTCACATTGTTCACAAAAAAATTGTTCTCGATTTTTCCAAACCAACTGTTGCATGAAATTTATGCCATTTGGGAAATTTTTCATTTTTATGCCATTTGGGAATTATGCCATTTGAGACGTAATCGTTGTTTATTCTTCAAACTTCTCTATATTTTTAACTTGTCGCTTCTGCATTAAAGTTAAAATCTAGCCTAACTGCTTTTTCGTTGCAAGCAAATTTACATTTGTTCTTTGGGATTGCCAAGTTTTTATTATTTCGTTAATCAATACGGTTTTTAGCGCCAATTCATGTGCGGATTTCTTTCCATTTATCAGCTCCCAAATGTCATTTTAAAAGGAAACATTTTTTTGCAGTTTTTAAATCAGATATTGTTTGTTTTCCGGTACTCGGCTCTCATAACTGTCAAATCGTAGAATTATTTTTGAAAAATTAATCCGTCCCATCAGAGGCGATTTTGCAGAGGCGATTTTAACCCACAGGTTTGAATCATGGTGTCGGCACCATGTCGTACGGGGAAAACACCGAGCGCACCATTTGGAACTGGACTCCCAAGTTTTTTAAAAGGGATAAGAGGAGTCGAATAAGGTCTATTGCAACTAGTTCGTAGTTAATGTCTTAGACAAGAGTAGTGTTCTTTAGACAAGCCTATTATACCGTTCACTGGTTCCATTTAGCGACATTAGCTCTTTCTATTTAGGTTCAGGTGTTGCGTGTGGGATAAACGTGTGTTCTTACTACAATTTTTTTCTAGACCTTCTCTCAGATAAAATTTCATTATTTATGGCAATCAGCTCAATAGCAACTAAAAAAGCAAAACTTGCACGAGAAAAATCAACAATCAACGACATTAAAAAGTGAGATGAAAAACACATTTTGTACTTACAAAATAGGCTTGCATCCACGTGTATGCTCCTTCTAATTCTAAAATCCAGTGATTTCCAAACTGACATTCATCGTTTGCGTTTTCTTCCATCACCAATTTGTTTCTTCAGCTCGCTAAGAATTTGAGGAGAACCAATATATGCAAAAAATGTGCTATACTTTTCTAGCTTCTAGAGTTTCCAAATGAATTGAAGTTGTTCTTTTTGCAGAAATACTTAAACAAGAAAAATTGGAGACAAAGAACTCAAACACTCGTGAGAACAACATGCTATTTTTTTGTATCAGATTTTATTTAAATCAAGAAAATGGTTCCCTAAAAACATCAAATACAATACAGAAATACATGTTTATAAGTATAGTAAGCAAACACGCACGAATGTCTATACGCATATTGTTTTTCTTAAGTTCGTAATACGCTTTTTTAACATAGTTTTTTTAAATTGTTTTCATTTCAATCTATCCGCCAATATCCGCCAAAAGTCAAATAATCAAGATAAACCTTCAAACTTCAATTCAAAAATAATGTTTACTGCTGAATACACAGGAAGAAAAATGTTCTTTTCATGTAATGATTTTGCTCTGATTTTTGATTAATTGGATTGAAAAAAATTTGATCCGATTTTTCTGCTCTGAACTGATTGACTACAAAGAACATCTCTCATACGAATCAAAATTGATGTATTCGGAGGCTGACATCATAGCCTCCTGTCCTGGGTGAGAGCGATAAAGGCGAGCAAGGACAGCTTGTCTGAGAGGTTCGGGGATTGCCAACTTGTTGTCAATGATCACGCAGTTGTTGACCACCGCTGCCTTGGGCCAGAAATGAGCCAAATAAGCCCCGAGCTTTTTTGAAGGTAGTGACATCTTTATTGACAATAGCAGGCTTCATAGGGCTCAGAAAGTGGTCCTCCTCAGTGAATTCAGCTAAAAGGTCAGCATCAAAAAGGCCAGGCAGTCACACAATGTCCTTCTTGGATTTCGAAAGGATCGGCTTGCCGCCATTAGCAGCAAAAACCCCGATTTTGGCGGCTGTGTTGACCTTCTGAGGTCTAGTTAAACGGCACCGTCTCATAGCCTCCAACAGCTGAACAGTCCTCGCGGGAACAAAACGAGTTTTGGTTGCTCGTTCACGGATTCGATTATGTTGTCGGATTTGATCCATGCGAGAACTTCGACCCAACTGTCGAGATCTCATCGGAGGACGCGGGCTTGGTCGTCTGAAGTTTGGCGAGCTCAATGGAAAGTTTTCCACAAATGTGAGGAGGCCAGTTTGTTCCGCCGTTGAGTTGAGTATTGTCTGAGAGTCGATAGGGTGAGTTAAAGTAGAATTTAGATCGTTTTTAGTTAGTATTTGAGTAGTATTAGGTGGTAGATTCGGCTCCGGTAGATTCATTTTTGATGGTAAGGTTTTAATAGATGAGAAGAAAATGTTGAATTAGAGAGAAAAGATGTATGACTGTTTCGGAAAGATTTAGGTCGAAAACAATGATCTCAAGTGAGAGAAACCGGTCTATGATTTTTAATTAGCATACTCGTTTCTGATTGGCTAACATTCTTTGAGCTTAACTTGACGCCCTCTATCGGTGAGAAACTTGAAGGACATATTTGCATAACGTGATTTGATTGGTTAACAGACCGAGGTAATTTTCTGTCGCCCCCTACCGGAGAATGCTTGGATGACGGCAAGAAGGAATGCCGTGGTGAAAGATTAACGCCCTCTTGTGAAGGATGACAAAACCCATCACTCGAATTATGAGAGCTATATGAAATGATGAATGTTAAGGCCTTTTTAAAAGGCTCAATGGACTTAACGACAAAAAGTTCATTGTAATTAGAGGGAGCAGGAGCAGAAAATGTAGGGTAGCGAGATAAATAATCCACAATACCCAAGGTGACCCCAGGGACATGATGACCTCGAAATCAAAGAGTAATAAACGATCTGCCCATCGAGAAAGACGAGATTGGTACGACTTGTTATTATAATTTTCATTCAATGCCAAAATAATGGCTTTGTGATCTGTCAACACTTGAAAACGATTACCCAAGAAATAAGTACGAAAAGGTTCACAAGCCCAAACAATTCCAATTCATTTGTACTTTACTTCGCCTCTGCATTATTAAGAAAACGCGAAGCAAACGCAGTTGGCCCCCAAGCTCCCGGTTCGATTTTCTGTTCAAGGCAAGCTAGCCCGTTATGATTAGCATCACATTTTACCCGTGAGTTTTTTGAAGAATCGTTCTGAAACAAACTAGGAATTTTAGCTACCAGATTGATTATACTTTTGAAGGCACCATCTCGTTCCTCTCCCCACAGAAACGACTGTTTGTTACATGCTTTTAAAGATTGCCGAAATTGAACTTTATGAGTGTGCAAATTAGGTATAAACCGTTGTAAATGATTTAACGTTCCCAAAAATGAACGGAGCTGTTTCAAAGTTCTTGGAGGTTTTTGTGATTAGATCGCATCTATTTTTGAAAATTTAGGAGATTACCGTCCTCATTATTGTCATATCCTAACCAACTTAATTGGTTAAAGGAAAATTCACACTTACTAAGTTTCAGTGCCCAGCCTTCCGCATCGAGTCTCCGCATCGCCTTCTCTACCAGTGCGTTATGTTCTTGAATATGCGCTTTCGTCACTACTAAAATATCGTCCAAGTAACGAATGGCACTCTCTAGTCCTTGTAAAGTACAGTCCATTGCCTTCTGGAACTCATTTGGCATATCTGTTAAGCCGTAAAACCCAGTTTTGAATCTGTACGTTCCCGTAGCATCCCCGCACCAGCTGTTGAAGTTGCAATGACTACTGGTAAAAAAAGATAACAAAAACTGACTGAAAGCGTACTTCAAGTCCAATGATGTGAACCAAACCTTGCCAGGTACATCCTTAGTGATGATCTGAGCCACTGAATTGATGAGTTCATGAATGTTTGGCATCTGAAACTTGTTTTTTCCAGATCTGGGCATTTATCGGTTTGACATTAAGAGCAAGTTTGATTGAGCCATCATTTTTTGCTGTCAACACGATGGGCGCTATGAAAAATCGGTCGTACATTTATCCAGTTTTTCGATATGACCTTGTTCTACTAACAGCCTGATCTCATTAGCAACTCTATCCTGGATATGAATAGGAACTTTACGTCCTTTAACTTGACGCGGTACAAGAGGGAATTTAAAGTTTGTATATACTTTTTGATTCTTGGATCTGCCTAATCGACTAAAAAAGTGTGCATATTTACTGGCAAAGAACGAACCCCAATATTCGGATATCGGGTCCTGAGGTTTATCCCCGCGCAGATAAACAGACTCCGCGCTCAATTGAGTAGTTACCAAACCTAGTTGATCTTGCAAGCCCACACCCAAAAGGTTTCGAGTTCTATTTTCAGAGACGAGGAAAAGAGCCTCCTCCACTTTCCAGACCCTAGAAGAGATCGGAATGCGAATTGACCCGAGAAGACGAATTGGTTTCTTATTGTAATCAACTTACAAAGTATCTATAGGGTATCGTGTGTTGTCACGGAATTCGATAGACGGGTTACGTTGTAGTAAAAAGTCACAATTGCGTTTTTTGAGGAACGAAACCGAACTTCCCGTGTCAACGGTTGAGTAAAAGAAGCTATGACCTGAACGTAACTGAATACTAAGGCTTCTAGGTTTCCCTCTGTTTGACTTGAGAAGCTCGATACTTTCTAACTGCAGAATACCATACTCTGATTCGCTATCGTACTCAACGTCTATAAAATTACAGTCGATCGAAGGACCCGACGCCTCCTCGTTTTTGTGAACCAAATTCACTCGTCGTTTTGATGAATTACAACTCTTAGCAAAGTGACCACGTTTCGTGCAATGATTACACGCAACTTCGCGAGCTGGGCAAGATTTTCTGTGATCCGGACTAAAAGGATTACCACAGAAGTAGCACGATTTGTTCCCTTGGTTGCTTTGCGTGTTTTGTCGATTGGTTTGATTTTGAGGATATTTAAGTTTTCCTCGAGACGACTGAATTGAGAAAGTGGATTCTTGTTTAAATTTTAAAGTATTGGAAAACTGATTGTGTGGAAGTAGTTTTTGGAACTGAGCGGACGTACTAGCCGTTTTTTCACACCCCAGTGCGAGCTTAAAGGTATTATCCTAATCCGTCTTTGCCTTAATTAGTTGTTGCTGGACATCAACGTCACGAATTCGTCCAATAAAACGATCTTTCAGAGTTTCCGTTTCTTGAGCGTTGGGCCAATTACACGTGGCAATCTGAGCGCTATGTCGAGCATAGAATGAAGAGAAAGTATCATTCATTGTCCAGCATTAATACAGTGTTATAAAGCTTAGTATGTTCGACAGTATAGTCTCGTTCCACCTTGAACAGCGTCTCACAGCCATTATAAAAGCCTCGAAAAGGAGTAACGCTAATATCCGTGTGGGGAAAGGAGTCTGCAAAACTTCTCTTTCCTTCGTTTCCTAATGCGAAGAACGAGCGTGACTTCAAACGAGCCTCAGCTTCGTGATAAAACCAGTTTTGGGTGATTCTAGGACCTTTTCTTCGGTGCTCAACATTTAATTCAGTTACTCTACGAACTGCAGCTTGATCTCGGATGACTCGAGCATTCGCCTCCCCAGCGTCTTCTCCAGGACCAACTGCCTCTGGTTTTGGGGGGATCATCGATGATTTCTGTAGTTTCTACTAAAAGGTCTTGAGGGTTGATATTATCTTTTAGACCCACTGCTAGGAAGAATTGACCTATCCAAGATTCCCAAAAGGAATATCGGATTAACAGATGGCTTCGCCCAAAAGGGTGGAATACCTAACAGGTCAGTCCTGTCTTCATTCACAGAAACTGCTGGCTGCGCCATGACATTTGCCGAAAAATAACGAGTCAAAACATAGTTGTTCAGTAGAAGTAAATTGATAGATTAGTTGTTTAGTTAGTTGCAAAAGTTAGTTTTAGATACTTAGTTCCAATTTGGTATTTACTAGTTAAACTTTGACCAAGAGAATATAGAGTTTGAGGAAGAGATAAATAGACATCTAACAAACGATGTAACAAAACAACAGAGTGACCACGCACAGCGTGGCACTCGGTATAGGCCATATCTGTGACATTGAATAAGCAATTATAATAAATCTGCAGCTAAAGGACAAGTTGTGAGCGAGGTACCGAAGGTCGCCTCATGACACATGCAAAAAACTGGCCGATTAACAATCTTTGATTTTAAAAAAAATCAAGAGTTGTTGTATTAGAAAATACCCACACCATTCGAACACTTCAAGTGACTTTAAAGCATTTTCCCCGCCCCTTGCGTTTACTTGAAAAAGGGGAGAAAATATGTCTGCACTTAAACAAAGTGTGTGAGGCTTAAATTTCAAAATTGGGAGCTAGTATTGAAAACCTTACAACCAATGAGAAAGAAACAAGCACTATAAAGATCACTCTAAACCTGTTGCACAACTGTTGACGACTTATGGTTTCGAAAATGGCCATTTTGCTGAAACAATTTCGGTTTGTTTGTCAATTATTAAGTACTAAAATCAGAACAAATTGTAGGCTAAATTATCTGATAAATCGATAATATAAACTGATATATTCATTAGAATGCATGGTCTATCCTGATTCAGTTATTGATACCAAAAGAAAATAAGAGTGAAGCAGTGCACACGAAACGAATTTCGTGTTGCTGCCAAAATTTGTGAATTTTTCACACCGAATGAATGAGTTCCGAATAAAAAAATACTAACAAAACTCACGCGGCCGAGATTCACGCCGCACTAAAATATTTAGTTTTCTAAAAATTCTATTTTTAATTAGAACTGTAGATGAACTTCCGCAGATAACTTAATCAATATTTTTTCTGCTGCTAATTGATAGCCAGCAGTCATGCTAGAATTGAAATCTTCGAATGAGAAAAAAACTTAATCACATTGTATCAGCTTTGGTTATATGCTTTGATATTTGCGAAACACACTTTTTTTCCGCATCAAAGCAACGCAATACTAACTTTACACACCTAAGACTTTCTGTATATAACCACCGGTTTTTAAGCAGTTTTTTTTAAATAGCAATAAAATAGTCAAACTTTTTTGAATTTAGCTCTTTGAAAAGAATTTTGTGGTTTTTCAATATCAAAAGTTTTTAAGTTCAAGCTTCAAGATGAGGATTTTTTTCCAGTTGGTTTCTTAAGATGATAACAATTGCTTCTTTTTCAAGTTTTTTTCCCGCACCCAGCTCCCATGTATTCTAACGGACAAAATTGTGGTTTTTTTCGGTATCAGCAAAGTTGCAAAATCATCATTTCAAATCCATTAAAAGTATATTATTTTCGTTATAATTTTTATGTTGAAAAAAAATTTTGATTAAGAGGTTTTTTGTGAAACTTCCGAACTTTTCCTTAGTCAATTGACCTCTTGTTTAGTGATATTTGTGCGTAATGCAGTTTAAAATTTCTTCATATTGTTTTTTTAGCCACAATCGCCATTCTTCGCCGACAGACCAACCTGCCACTAACGTTCAAGGGGATGGGGTTCGGGGGAGGGGCGTTAGAGGAGTTAAACGGGTGTTGGGGTTGTTTGATGGCTGAAACAGGCAGTGGGTTTATTTAATGGTTGAAGGGGGGGGGGGGTTACTCAACCCCACCTTTTTTGTCATCTTCTCCAGTTTATCTTCCCCTATACTTAGCCCCGAGGGGGTAGAAAATAGTAAAACATCAGTTGAACTTTACTACCTGGGAGTGCAGTAAATTGAGGCAAGGGGGTTGTTAAAAGAGGTGCAGTTCTCGTTCGGGTGTGG